TTGCATTTTCCATAGTTAAGTCAAAAAAGTAAAGTTTAGTGTCAACACCACAATTATATTTTATTACCTATTGGACTAATTTGATGATCAAATACCATTAATCTGAACTCTTAATTTACCTTAATTGTGATATGAGTTTGATCACTGCTTTATTCTATCTTTAATTGGATTGGTAAAGTTATAGCATCATGCTTGAATAAAATAGAATGGCTTGTTACACTTATTAAATAAAATGTATTAAAAATTCACAGGGCTAGAAGATGGGTGAAAAACACAGATAAACTCAAGTAAGAAACATACAGACCCCTGTCTCTGTTAGTAAATAAATATTTTAAGTTCCAAAAATGTGAAAATTTTTCTTAAAAATTACTGCTTGTCCTTGCAAATTGTTATGCTTATATTAATGCATGATTTATTTTATTGGAAAATATGAGGAAGATTTGTCAGATTAAAATACTTGTTAGAATAGATTTCTCTTTAAGAGAAAAGAGTTTTCCAGAGGATGACTAATTTAGTGAAACTATCATCAGCGTCTCCAGAAAATCTGTTGTCACTGATCCACTTTTGGAAAGGAGAGAGAGTTAAGAATAAGGGAAAAATACAGACAATATTCTGCAGACTTCTAGACTTGTGCTGTCTCCAGAAGAAGGACAGTTGGGTTCGACTTGCACTAAGCTTGACAGTTAATAAACTCTATTAAACTAGAAAAACGTCACACAACATGAGCGAAAGTATTTGTACACCATTCTTCCTAGTGGTAGTGTTTCCAAAAGCACTTAGTAACACAGGTGCAGCATGTATTGTGGGTTATTCATAAGCCGGATAATCCACCCACAGGTAACAGCAAGCTTGTATATATAGGTAATGCATGAAAGGTTTTCAAAATCCTTTTTTCCTCTGAGAATAGGTATATTTTGGCTGAATAAACATTTGTGAAAACTTTGATATGTGGCTTGCATTAGACACACTACTCCATCATTTGCCAATGTGCAATTTTAATGAGCCCATTTTAGAGCATGTAAAATCTCAGAAATACATGGTCAAATTTGCAGATGATTCAACCATCTAATAAACTGAAGTTGAAAAACTATTAACTAGACTAGGAATTGCGACAACTGGGGTAAACTCACTTCACAGAGAAGACTGTATTTTCTCTTTATGTGTACATTTGAAAATCTACGTGGTGTAATGAGCTTTATTGTAATCAAGAGACCAAAAAAGAATAAAGAACAGCAACTATAATTGTTAGAGCTAGATGAACAATTTGCTAGAGACAATTTACTTGCCAAATTTAATCCACTTTTCTCCTTGCAAGCTGTCTGCAAACAGACAGATTATGTCATATATTTCATTATAATTTTAAGAAATTGCATTATTATCAATAATTTAGCTAATATTTTTGTGGATTCATTTCAGACCATGGATTAGTCATATAACATAGGAAATATTTGAATTGTTGACAGGTCTTGTATGTCACATGATACTCTATCTCTTATCTGATTTACAAATGGGGACTTTTTAAGTTACTGTAGGCTTAATTTTTCTGCAAAAAGACAAAGAGAGAGGGAGAAAACACAGAGAAGATAGGTAAACCTGCAGAATACAAACCTCTTCTTTTTCATTTTGCCTTAGGGAAAAATGTTAATTGTTTTTTAGTTACTAGTAGCAAATTAGGTTTGAATGGAGAAAAGCCACCTTAAATATTGATAATAATACATATTGTCTAATTCAGCAGAGCTTATATTGAATTTTCTCAGAATAGTATTAAAACGATTTGTGGATATGTATAGCCCACTAAATTTTCTTAACTAACACTGTCTGGAGAAAGAAAGATATTCTCCAAGACTGAGCAGCTGAGACTGACAATGTGAGAGCCATATATCCTCTGTGACCTTTAAGAGCTCCCCTAGCAAAACCAGAATTGACACTTTTCATATTTCTTGGATAAGAAAATAAGCACTGAAAAATTCCTTAAAAACAATCATCCCAGCAACCCTTTCAGACTATTTAAAGTTTAATTTTTGTTAACTCCTTTTCAGATTTTCTTCAAATGTTTCTTTTTATCCTGGGACCCCTGTTCTGAGCATTTCCTTTGAATCTATGACCCAGTTTGACTTTATTCAGTACTCTTCAGTGTCAGCGCTGGCAACACATCAGTCTCTGTAGCAGTTGCAATAGCTCTTGTAACAGAAGCAGCATTTGAACAGTCACTATGCAATATTTACCTTTATAAATGCCAATCATTTTATAGGCTCAGTATTGAGGCTTGATGGTTGGTTAATGACGATATTCCCAGCAGAACTGAAAATGGCAAGTCAAGACACAGCATATGCTTAGTTTCATCAACCTGTATGCACAAGTGATTTCCCATACTACTAATGTTGCTATCATTTTAATAGGCTTTTATTGGAAAAAGAGTTAGAGTGTCTAGATAAAGGACCTTTTCTATTAAGCTTAGCAAACCTATTGATTTGCTGCCTGATTATTTCCATCTTACTTGTTAATCTGGAGAAACTCCACTGAAGACAAAAGAGTTTTAGCTAGCACTAGGAGGCAAAATAAAGGCCCCTGCAACAGAGCCCAAATCAGAAACAGCGTCTGAACATTCCTGTAGAAGGAGACGAATGAGAAAAATAACTTTTGCTGAGACGTCACCCTTCAGACTGTGGTCCCGTGGGCTCTTCCAGTTGTGCTGAACTCCCCCACCCTGTCCCAAAAGGTTGTCACATCACTACCTTCTCTTAGATGGAGATTATCACCTCTTTAGCTGTGCCAGCATAACCACACAATCAGCTTCTCTCCAGCCAAATATTATCAAGATACACCAAGTGGAAAAGCCCAAATTATTAACAATATTAATTGCTTAAACTAAATAACCATTTGGACAGAGTGAATGTCACTGTGCCAGCAGACTTAAGGGGTGGAAACACTGGGTGGTAAGCAGCAGCGATGACAAGCACTGGTAGCAGTACTGTCTTCGCCCAGCTAAGTGGAAGGATGAACAGTGCATCTGCCTGTGACCTCAGCATCTTGTAATCTGTGTTCTGTACAAATGCTTCTTTAAAAACAGGGTTTTCCGTGCATCTGAAAAAGCCAACCCCAAACTTCCTCTTAAATTCACATATTTTTGTAAGCATGTATTTGTTTTATGTTAAATTCTCATCTAGAAATTCATTGAAAAACTTTATCTTTACATGAAAAAAATTAAATTAAT